CCCAAATAAATCGGTTAGTCTTGAAGGTGCCACCGGACTCCTCGTTGTTTTTGTGGATACAGACTAACACGGCTACCCCCGATACTTGAATATAAACATAGCTCATATCAATGCTGGAAGGTCCTTAAGTTGTATCCAGGAGCTCTGATTTCACCCTTCCACACCAGTCTCCTGTTAGGGGTGTGACTCATGGCTAGAAAGGGTTAAACATCCTGCAAAATAAATAATCCTCAAAAGACATGTAGGGAGATAATGTTTGTGTTTTTTGTGTATTTACATATGTATGAGTAGGGTGGACAATATAATCAACAGTCCCTGTCTATGCTGCATTCTGATAATTTGGAGGTCAAAAGAACATCCTATCACTTAAATGAATTGTAAACACAGGATATCTCAGCCAGATTCTTCCATGAAAACTCCTTGCCCAACTTTATTTCACTTACTCTTCGTGTGCTCAGGTGGGGTGTGTGGCTTAGAAACTCCAGACACTTATGATTGCTGGCAAAGTAGATTCATCCCAGTGAAAATATACAGGGAGCAAAGACTTTATAATGCTCATTGTGTCCATGTTCTTCCTCTTACGTTATGGAGTCGCAAGGTCTGGTCTAGGCCCAGCCAGTAACCAGTCTCCTGGGAGTGACCCTGTCTAGTGTGCCAGACCCCAAGCACCCACATGGGCCTGCCCCTGTGGAACTAAGTACTCAAGACTGGGCCTTCTTCCATGGCTCCCTGCAGCAAATCCAGCCAAGCCAAACTACTGCAGGAGGCTTATATTGTGCCCTTTTGGGGTGCAATGCTGAGGGGTGTGTGTGGTGTTTACAGTAACACAGGCAGCCTTTCCAAAAACAACATAACTGTTTGTTAGTCACCTGGCATAGACAATCCTGTAATCCTTAGGTTAGTACAGAGAGGCAGAAGTTAAGCCATAGACCTCCCTGGTCAAACAGTGCCATGATGAGCCAGCCAAGCTGTGATGGACTCCATCTCTGGCATGCATGCTCTCTCTCTTCTCTCCCTCTGTCCCCATTTCCTCTTTTGTTCCCCAGGTCTGGGCTCCTGAGTCTCTCCAAAAAGTCCCTTTCTTCAAGTCACCTGACACCTTGTTCTCCAGTTTGTCACAAATTCCACTTACTGGGGCTTCCTGCTGTTAGGTGTTTATGCTCAGTCATTGAGGTGTCTCAGGCTTGCTGGATGTTCTGATTTGATTTGGGGTCCGTTTGAGCCAGTCTTTAATGACCTAGCTCTTCCACTCAGACCACCAGGTGACACTCCTTCATGCTTCCTGTGCTGTTTTAGCAGGAGACTTAAACTTTTTTTTTACAATGCAAATGCAGAGGGAAACTGAGGCACACAGGCTTCATAACAAATATTTCAGAATTCCCATACTGTCACACTTTATCTCCCACATTTGTGGCTTGACTGCCCTCCTATCATTTAACTCCTGTAAGAATTTCCTGCTGGGATAAGAGTAGCATACTATAGATTGGCCATGGTGAAGCAGCCATACAATGTATTTTGAAGACGGGTTCTGATGCAGCAAAATGATTCAGAGTTGCTACTACCCTCTTCCCTCAGCCCCACAGTTCAGCAGACTCTGCTTCATGACTAACTAGAGGAAAGCAACTAGCCCTTAGCATAAAAACCCATGTATCTGAATTTTAAGTTGTCAATAGAAGGCACTACTGATAACTTTAAAGTTATTGCAACGTCTTACATGATTAAAAAAAATAATAAAATAGTGTGGTGAACTATGACTCTTAAAGGAGTTAACAGGAATGTGTTTTTCCTTCCTTTTTTATAGAATGATTTTCTTCTAAGCAAATAAAGCCCAACCCAATGATCCTTAGTTTGAGGCCTATGTACTGACTAATGCAAAACTCAAGTAAAACTGACACTTCTAGCATTAGGTTAATGTTAGATGAAGAACAAACTCAACCTTTAAGACAAAATAGTGATACATTCACTTAATGCTGACTAGTAGCTGCCTTCTTCCTGAGTGGGTTTCATAAACTGTCGTCATTACAAAAATGAATTGACACTTTTTGTTCAAATGTAATAGATGCTTTGCATGCAAGTGCCCTCTTGACTGCCTATAGTACAGTAACCCTGTTGCTGTGACCACATCACAGCTGTTGTGGACATGTTCCAGGCAGGAAAAAGGAAACTATCCAGCATCCTCTAAGAAAGTAACTGCATGTGCTGGTGTTGCGGGGGGAGGGGGGGAGGAGGAACAAACACATGATCAGCCTTTCCATATAAGGAGAAAAGTGGGGTGATGGGCTACTTCCAATTGCAATGCAGAGAACACATGACATAAGATGCTATAGCTCTTCCTGGTGGGCGCTAGTTTAAAAATAAAGGATGTTACACATCTGTGCTCATGCTGACAGACTGCAGAGGAGAAGGACTGGACAAAGGCACAGACCATGCACTGTGTGACTCTAAACCATAACTCTCTGATGGTTGGGGTTTTTGGGGGTTAAGATCTAAATTCAGTATTTCTGGCTAAACAGTGTAAGATATAAATGGGAACCTTTTTATGAAATGTTCAAAATTCTAAGCAGTTCAACTAAAGACTATTCTTTTAAAAATGAATGGGGGGGGGGGAGAAATCTAACAACTCTTAACAAATCTCATAGAATATATTCTATAGTGCTATCCTACTACTGGACCAGATAAAAAATCTTATTTTATCTTTGCAAATACAAATACTGCTGCCTTCAGTGACAGTTGTTTGAATTGGCTTGTTCAGATAACCGTGTTGAGGAGAACTGGTTTCTTTAAAGCTGTTTTAAACTATCACTTTGTCATTTTAATCTTTTGCAGAGACAATGCTGTCTGAATCGGAAATGGGTACTGTGTTGGCAGATTCGGCCCCTAACTTGGATGTTCCAGTGCCGTGTGAGGTGTCTCTTAGTGATGTCATGGTGAACTCTCCATCCAGGTTTGTCCAGTTTCTTTAAAAAAAAAAATTCTACTTGGATTATTTCCCATTTGATTAACAGCTATGATAGTTTCCATGATAATCTACATTAACATGGGTTTGTACTATAAAATCTAATGCTGTGAGGAAGTAAAAGAGCAGAATAGAACTTGCTTTACATAGTGCAGTGACTAGCTTCTGAAATAAACCAAATGCATAGTGTATGTTCAAAAAGCGTTCTGTACAGGCAGACTGAACTTCACTTTTATAAAAGTATGCATTTAATGTTAACTCTCTGGCAGAATTTAAATTTGTCTGTAGAAAGGCATTGGCCATTTGTGTCTAATACTTAGCACTTCTATATTACACAATGTTGCTATACTGTAAACAGAATATTGGCTGTCTGCAGAGATTTCCAAATGTAGGAAAGTACTTCTTGTTTGTCCCTCATATGAGGGAAGTCAGGTGGATCTTTGTCAAAGTAGGCAATGTGTAGCCATGTATCTCTTAAACCCTGTGGGGGAAACTAAAAGTAAAGATTGGCTGCACAGAGGTGGGAGATCACTGTGCCGCTCCCACCGAGGACACGGACTCAGTGGTGAGGCTGCACCCAGCCCTGACACAGCGCAAGGACCAGGCCTGCCCCAGAAACACCCCAGGCCCTGCCCCTCTGTGCTAGGTGTGGGCAGGCAGACTCAGCAAGGTAGGATCCAAGAGTGGGCCGGCTTAGTGTGGGGGGGATCTAGGTGTGGGTTGAGAGGCTTCTGTGTGGGGGATCCAGGTGTGAGGGGATTTGTGTGCATGGGTTTGTTGGGGCGGGGGTCTGGGTGCAAAGGTGATGACTCTGCAAGGGGTCCAGGTGAAGGTGGCTCAACTGGGTGGTCCAGGTGCAGGGGGAATGGAGCTTATGGGGGGGGGGGGGGGGGGGGGGGGGGGGGGGGGGGGGGGGCGGGGGGGGGGGGGGGGGGGGGGGGGGGGGCAGATGGGGGCACATTTCCCTGTACAGGGATCCCTCCCCTTGCAGCTGAGGAATGATGGGTGCAGGAAGCAGGGGAAGTTTGCAGAGCTTCCTGCAGCTGGATGAGAAATCTTGGGGTGGGTGTGACCCAGCCCTGGATGCCATTCAGGGGAAGAGGAAGTCCCGTCCTCCCCAGCCCAGTCAGGACTAGCAGCTGAGCCAGGCGCAGGGTAGGAGCCACCAGCCGGGTCTTCCCCAGTCCCGTCCCCTGCCCCTCAGTGATTTACATATCTGACGGCTGCCCTGAAACATACTGCTGGGGAGGGTCACATGTCCACTCTTGTGGCTTCCCATGACTTCCCTGTCAGTCACTTTTCTGTGGTGTTTGGTGAGGAGAGAACTGTATAGCTGGTCAGGTGAACCTATGGTCTGCTAGGACTCCCTGGCCCATAAAAACCTCCCTAACGTAGATGGCCTGGAACAAAGATTTATAGCCTTGAGCCCTAGCCAATGGGGAAGTGCCTGGCAAAAGATAGTTTAATCTTCAGTTAAGGCTGATTTAAGCAGAAGATTATATTTCATTCACACTTGCTCCTACATAATTATAGCATAAGGTCCTTGTCAAACCAACTGCTGCTGGAGAAGAATTTTGACTGAATCAGGAACAGAAACATGCCTGAGACCAACGTTCTCTTGTACCAAAGCCAACAGGGGGAGGGATAGCTCAGTGGTTTGAGCATTGGCCTGCTAAACCCAGGGTTGTGAGTTCAATCCTTGAAGGGACTATTTGGGAATTTAGTTGGGGATTAGTCCTGCTTTGAGCAACAGGTTGGACTAGATGACCTCCTGAGGTCCCTTCCAACCCTGATATTCTATGATAAAATGAGGGTGGAAAAAATAAAAAAAAACAGAACTACAAGCTAAAACTACAGACCTATCTACAGCCAATCATGTGCCAGGACTCTTGTATGTCACAATGATCTAGCTAAGATTTGCTATTTCTGTAGCAACAGTTACTGTCCTAGTGACCCTGCCTGTAGGGCCAAAGTTGATACCTAGGGCTAGGGACAGCCTAGAATTCAGAAGTCAGTGATGTCATAAGAACCTAGTGAGTTCTAGAAGACTGGCATTTGCTCAGAAAATTCTCTGTAAGTGGACATTGAGGGATACCCTCACTCGAACCGTGGATCAGTACTTAACAGAACAAAAGGTGGGACTCTTCCCCTACCTGAGTTCTCATGGAGAAGACTGAAGGTTCAGTACTGACATGAAGTGCTCACCTGCCCATCAACCCACAGTGATGTCAAAGAGTGACGGACTTTAGAGAAACAAGAAGGCAAATTGGAAAGGCAAGATAGAAGGGAATATTCAATCCTTATGGGGTGGAAAATAACCTTTATTTAGATTATCTGGCAGTCATGGCTGACTAATATGAGTTAAGGGGACTGTATGAATGGTGTGTTGTAGAGTGCAGGGGAGTAAGCACCATCCATATGAATACTAGGAGAGCAGGACAGTTACACTTGTAACTCAAGGGATCTCATTCTGGTGAGTGGTGCATGGGTCCCCAAAGGCCAGGCCGGAGTTCAGTTCAGTTATCTGGAAGGTGTGGTATGTGACTGCTGGCAGATTCTTCATTATGCCAAACATACCTGGGTAATGAAGGCAGAGAATGAAGGTCTGATGAATAAACCTGTCTTGGAGAGGAAGAATACCACATCTCTCCATTCCTCTCAGCAGCCAAGAGGGTACAGTGGAGTTCGCTTGCTCCCCATCTTCTACAAAAGTTGTCTTCCAGCAAGATTAAAACTGGAGGAGAGATGTTGCCCAGCACCATGATGGGATGATCCCTTAACTATTATGTTGATGACACCCTTAACTATAGTTAAGGCGACGTTTTAGTCACTTATATTTTTAGTAAAAGTCATAGACAGGTCATGGCTGAGGGTGCAGGCTCCGGGATGGGGCCAGGAATGAGGGGCTTGGGGTGCAGGCTGCCCCAGGGCTATGGCAGGGGGAGAGGACTCTTCTCTTCCCCCCCCCTTCCCTCTGGGGCTGGGGGGAAGGAATCTCTCCCCGCTGCAGCCCTAAGCACCTGCATGGCGCTTAATAGGCTGTCGCGTAGCTTAGAGAGAACTTGGCCTGTGACCTGTCCATGACTTGTACTATACCCTGACTAAATATTGGGAGGGCTGGGGGGGGCACCATGGGTGCTGTTGGGGGAGTTAGCGGGGCTGGCAGGTTCCCTACCCGGCTTCTCGGAAGCAGCAACATGTCCCTCCCATAGCTTCTAGCTCTGCACTGCCAGCACCACAGCTCCCATTGGCCAGGAATTGCGGTCAATGGGAGCTGCGGGGGCAGTGCCTGTGGGCAGAGGCAGCACACAGAGCTAGGAGCTGAGGGAGGAAGGGACATGTTGCCACTTCTGGGGAGCCCTTCTCCCCCCCCCCCCCCCCCTGCAAGGTAAGTGCTGCCCAGAGCCCTCACCCCCTCCCACACCGAATCTCCTCCTGCTGCTGGGGGGTGGGCGGTGGCCTGAGACTGCCCCAGCAGCAGCTGGTGCAAATGCCCCATGGCCTGCCTGAGCTTGGGCTGCCCCAGAGCCAGCCGCACTGGCTGCTACAGAGGTCACGGAAAGTCATGACCAACTCACAGCCTTAACTATATAGTTTGCATGACTCACTTGAGCTCTGATCACTGCCTCAAAGTTATGTCTAGGACTAAGTCGACCATAAAAATGGTGAAACACTTGTTAGGTGGTTATTTCAGCCACATAACACAGGTATCAAACATTGTATGATTTGTTAAAAGCTACTTCCATGGCTTTTTGGAGGAGGTGGGGACTAGTGTGAGTGTGGGGTGAGGGGGGTAATGGGCTAAAAAAGGGTCTGGAGATGCATGGTGGGCTAGAAAGAGACCTCAAGACACTATTGAGGCAAACAGCTTAGTAGGAGTCAAAATTAACTTTTATGTGACTCAGAGGATCTCTTGCATTCCATCTTATGGATCTGTGGGATATAAACCTTCATGCTTTTGAGAGAAAAGCCACCCATTAACTGATAAGTGTTTAGGAAACCTTCCCTTAATGGACTAACCAGACCAGAAGGGGTTTCTTTCACCTTCCTTTGACGCATCTGGCATAATGTGGTGGTTTCTGTTGACTACTGATGGCCGAAGCATACTAGAGTTTGTGCAAAAGCTGTGTTGGAAGTTGTGAAAATTTACCTACTTTCAGGCTGCTGAATCCTTCTGAGGGAAGTTGGGGCCTCTTAGGGACTTTCCTGAGAGAGTGCTGGGTGACCGCTCATCTGAGTGGTAAGGAGGAAAAGCTGCTGGGGTCAAGTGTCCTGGATTGGCTCTCTGTGGCAGTGAGCAGGGAAGACCTGTTTCCCTAGAAGGAGCAGAAAAGCGCTCCTCCACTTCTGGCATCTGCTTTTTTAAGTCCACAATTTGGGAAGCTGTTTGGCGTGTGTGTGTTTGTTTTTTGTTTGTTTTTTTTGTTTCCCCCCAATTGTGCCAGTCTTCCTAGCTGCCAGTGGATGCCAAGCTTATGAGTTCAGGCACAGCTTGCCTGGAAATGCAAGTAATCAGTTCACGTTCGGGTCAAAACTAGTTCTGTGTTCAAACTTGTGTTAACAAAAACACTTTGGATTTAGATTGTAAACTTTTTGAGGCTGGGACTGTCTTGCTATGTTAGCCCCATATAGACTGTCAGTAAAAGGAACAACGAACTCAAATCCAGAATATTGGGGACCAACAATATAGTAGGAAAATCCCCCTTCTGACATCAAGGGATTAGCATAACTAAATTATGAAACTGTGAAAATATGCTGTACACTTAGGTCAGTCTACTAAAATAACATCCAATACTTAGTGCTTGCTATTGCTTGCAGAACTGTTGAGGACCATAACGCTAAAATAACTGAAGAGACTAAGACTGAGGAATCTCAGCTAGATATGTTTAGATCCAAAGGTAAGCAAAAAGGAATCAGTTTATAACAAAAGATAATTATAACAATCAAATAAGTTGCTCTAAACATCTTTAAATTGTTGCCTTCCAAAATTGTATGCTATAAAACAAAAGAAACTTAACCTGCAGAATTGTCTCCTGAGAAACCATGCTGAATTTAGCTTGGGTTGCAGTGGTGGTGGCGGCCCTCAGGGAGGGGTAAATGTTAAACTATGCTGTGTGCCAGTGGATAAGCCCCTTGGGTCAGAGGCACTGAATGAGTTTGGCCTCCACAGGAGGGTACCAGCTGGTCCTGTATAAGCATCTTCTGGCAGAATAGCACCCTCCTTGTTAGAAGGCACGTGGTGGTGGTGGTGGTAGTAGTAGTGGGAGGGAGAGGTTTCAGGTTCCCCATTTTTGTTGTTTTGCACAGTTTGAATATAGTTCGGGTTTCAGCAAAACTCCAGTCTCCAAATAGAATCTGACCTACCTGCCAACTTGCCCAAAGTACAAAATAAGTGACAATTCACATTACATCTTGGGTACAATCTCTCAGATTTGACACCACTTATTTCATAGTGGCAGAAGGAAAAAATCTAAATGCAAGGCATTACACTAACACCTTATTTATTTTAAATACTAGCTTCATCCCCTGCCTCAGGCCTATGGACAACACGACGGGATGGAGAAGTTAAACTAAGGCTAGAGCAACAGGGTATTGGTAGTGAGACACCAAAGACTGTTCATGAACTATTACAGGAAGCTGTTAAAAAATATGGTGACTATTTTGCCCTTGCATCAAAGAAGGGTGACCAGTGGATAAAGCAAACTTATAAGCAATACTATGAGGAATGTCGGAAGGCAGCAAAAAGCTTTATAAAGGTATGTCTTGTAGAACTCTTTTATTCACCCATCCACTGTCACTCTGATTGCACTAACGTCCATATTCAGTCACTGAAACTTAAACATTGTCTAAGTATGCCCTAATTTTACAGGAAGAGGGGTGGGGCACAGTGGAAAGTGTGGCTCAGTATCATGGAGTCTTAATGAGATACATTTGCTAACTGAATTGTTCTGTCTGAAACGTCTCATGTGCTCATGCCAGAAGATGACTCTTCAGGAGGCTTGTGAGTTGGGTGTTTTTTTCCCCTCATCTTGGATATACATTACATTCCTTTGAGGAATGTTAACTTAGACTCCAAACCTGGCTTATTCTGTTGTGTAACTTAACTCTAAAAATGTGGGTTAATTCTGGACACATTTATTATTTAAATGTTTAACTTCCCTCCCTGCCCATATTGAAAAATTCAAGACAACCTTACAGAACTCTCAAACTTACCAGCCAAGCCTCATTCTATTTGTATACTCTCTGCTGCAATAACTAATGAGAACCAAGGATGTGATTATACTCTCCAGAACAATCTTTCAAGTCTGGTTCCAAGAGGTCAGGCTATTCTTAGACTTCTCAGCAACTGGCAAGGGCTGCTGCTCGACAGCGCTATTACTATACGCGAGTGTCTCCTACTGTCCATGAAATGTTCGGTCTGTTTATAAAATATCTCAAAACTAAGGAAATGGCCAAACTGGAAAAAGTGACCTTTGAATAAGAGTGAAAAGTTGCTTCAAAACTTTCTGCTTGGCTTTTCACTAGCCTAGAAAGTCTTGTGTGCCACCCTCTTGCAGGAACTGTGTGGCTGAATATATTGGACCTCTTGTCCAGGTTTCACTCATGACTAGAGAGAGGATTTGTCAAACTAAAAATCACATGTGCTTTCTGTTAGCCTATTGCTCTAACTTAAAGAAGCTCTGAAATCCCAGACTCCTGCCCTTTCAATTGTGTAGTAGGAGTTCCTGCAGCAGAACCAGGAGGATCTGATGTGAAATCCTGGTCCAATTGAAGTCCATAGCAAACCAGCCCTGGGCTTCAATGGAGTCAGGATGGATGCCCTTGATGTTACTGAGTCACATTTTAATTTAAAATGTGACTAACCTTCAAAGTAACTATGTAAGGTACTAAATGCAACTGTCTCCTACTAACTTTCTCTTTCTGCCATTTTTAAATTTTGCCTAAGTCACAGAGGGAGCTGATATCTGGCTAGATTAAGCTCATGAGTTTAGATCCTGATCTCGTCTTAAACTATAATGTATTACTTCATGCCAATGAAATGGTCTTATTGCATTTGCTGGGAGTCTGCATTTGCACATTGAACAAAACAGAGCAATGTCTTGAGACTAAATTTTAACAACTTGTATGTTGGTTCTGTGCAGGGCTGGTGCAAGGAAGTTTCGCACCCTAGGCGAAACTTCCACCTTGCATTCCCCTCCTACCCTCCCCCCCCTAGCCCTGCGGCAGCTCCCCACCCCAGCTCACCTCTATTCCGCCTCCTCTCCGAGCACGCCGCCCCCGCTCTAATTCTCCTCCCCTCCCAGGCTTGCGGTGCCAGGGAGGTGGGAGAAGTGGAGCGGCGACCACACACTCAGAGGGGGCATAGGAACGCTGTTAAAAATATTTAAAAAAAAAAAATTGGGGGCACCGCTTTTTGGCGCCCCCAAATCTTGGCACCCTAGGCAACCACCTAGTTTGCCTAAATGGTAGCACCGTTCCTGGTTCTGTGCTAATCCTTGAGGGAATTTTTCATGCGAATCCTCTTTGTATGCTGGGTGGGATTTTTCTTGATGTTGTTTATGCTCAAAGTATATGGCAAGATGTTCAACAAACTAAGGCCTATACTACCACTTTATGTTGGAAAAACTGTCGCTCAGAAAAAACACACTCAAGCAACCTACATTTATTTCACTGGCAAAAGTGGTGGTGTGCCCAGGGCTATGTCAGTGGGAAAGTTTCTCCCACCAACATAGCTACCACTGCTTGTTGAGGTGGTTTTATGTCAACAGGAGAGCTTTCTCCTGTCAGCATAGAGCAGCTACACAAGTCATCTTACAGCGGCACAGCTGCACCAATACAGCTGTGACACTAGCGAGCTTAACTCATTTAAGGATACATGGCTTAACTCATTTTAAGGCATTTAATTTTCCAAGAGAAATAAATCCTTGGATTTATAAATCCTGATCTTTGTTTACAGTTGGGATTGGAGCGTTTCCATGGAGTGGGCATTTTGGGATTTAATTCTGCAGAGTGGTTTATTGCTGACATTGGAGCTATTCTTGCTGGGTAAGAAACCAATTTAGTTTGCACTGGCACTTTAAAGACTATTACATTTTCAGATGCCAATAGATGTTAAAAACATGATGAAACAATTATTGATGTCAAAGGCTCTACTCTTTATTTATGGCTATCAATTTGTTTAGACTCTAGATATACCTCTTTAACGATCATTAGTACTTCTAATAACAAATGAACAAGACAGACTAGAGGGATCTATCTATCTTGATTAGAGCAGGGGTTCTCAACCTTTTTCTTTCTGAGCCCCCTCTTCCCCCCCAACATGCTGTTTAAAAACTACACTGCCCACCTGTGCCACAACTGGTTTTCTACCTATAAAAATCAGGGCTGGTATTATGGCGCAGCAAGCAGGGCAACTGCCTGGGGCCCCACACAACAGGGAGCCCCACAAAGCCAAGTTGCTCAGGCTTTGGCTTCCACCCTAGAGGGTGGGGCTCAGGGACTCGGGCTTCAGCCCCATGCGGTTGGGCTTCAGCTTTCTGCCCTGGGCCCCAGTGAGTCTAATGCTTGGCGGACTCCCTGAAACCTGCTCGTGGCCCCTGGACCTCTGGTTGAGATCCACTGGATTAAAGGATGTTGTGCTTCCAGAACGCTGAGCTGAAGCAATAATATGCTAGTCTGAAAGAAAGTTTCATTGCACTTCATGGTGGGGTGGGGGGACGACTGCAGAACCTCCGCTCAGTTACAGGCCTACTAAAGACAATCTCGTATATTGTGGCTCCTGAAAAACACAAACTATAAATCTTCATTAATGGAATCTGTTTCTAGAACTTAACACAAAGGAGGTATCCTCATTACAAAAATGGAATTTAGATTAATCTGTCTTTACATCACGGAGCACTTTTCCAGGTGGGAAGGCTCTTCTGTAGAGAGGCCAACTTCTGAGACTGAAATCCTTGACTAGTTACCCTCTAACTCTGATTTATTTATAGTGGTTTTGCTGTTGGCATCTACACCACAAACTCTCCTGAAGCCTGCCAGTATGTAGCGGAGAACTGTGGCGCTAATATCCTGGTTGTGGAGAATCATAAACAGCTGCAGAAAATCCTAGAAGTAAGTATCTTTTTATAGAGTTGTTTAGGGGTGGCAGTGGCATATGGAAAGCATTTGGCTGGGTTAGATAGTCAAGCAAGTATTTAAATTACATCCCTAGCTCTACTCTAGGGTGTGTTCCCTCTCTTCTATTCGTTTATTCTGTCAAACCAAGAGGTGCCTGTTTCTGGGCTGGGGATGGAAGGGGACTTGACAGTACAGCAGATGGCAGAACTCCCCTTTTCCCCCTGCGACTTCAAACCACACCTGGTGTGTGCGTAGCACTCTAAAGGGATAAGGTGGAGTACAAACACTCACTAATGCTTGCAAGCCTTCCTGTGAGTGGGCAGGGAAGACAAATTGGGACTAGAATGAAAAGGTGATTGCAATGTTAAATATGAAGACTGGAATCTCACTAAAACTGAAATCAAACAATCCAACCTGTGCTCTTGCCCATCAGAGGTGGATGGGTGGGGGCTGGTAGCCAAAGCACTTTTCCAGGTGGAAAGTTGAAGTTATAAACGCACGGTTTACACTCCTAGTCGAGGCTCTGAAACCGTCACAGAATACCACAAGCAAAAATAAAGCGTCACTAAAAACTCCATGATGCTTTCTGGAAATCAAGGTGTTCCTGTAAAACTTCAGTCTGGATAATTACTTTCTAACTACCTGAAGTTCCTCCAGTTCAAATAGTCTGAGAATCCTGTTGGATTCTCTATCATTAAATAGCATTAATATTCTCCACTCCAAAGGTGGCAGTGTTGTCAGTTGTGGGGGAAGCTATCTTCAGACTACATCAGAAAGTTCTGTTGCATATCTCAAGCTAAAAGGAAGGCGCAAGAAACACTAGTTTACTCTGATACCTTGCTTCCTCTTTACTGCAGGTTCAGCACAAGCTCCCTCTTCTGAAAGCAATCATCCAGTACAATGGAGAGCTTAAGGAGAAAAGACCAAATCTCTACACTGTAAGTAATGATACTTAAGTAACATTTGAGGTGTTGCTTGCATATTACAAACACCTCTGAATAACTAGCTACACTTTGTGGTGATGCTGCAAGTACACCTCTCTTGACATGCGGCTGTAGTGAGTAATACTGACAAACTGTCCCACTGCCATCTCTCATGGCTCACCCGTGGAGGGGCCCTACTTTGTTCATCAGGGAACAGTTTGGGGTGGGGAAAGAGTTCTTGATCTTCTTCTATTATGTTCTTTCATAAATTGCTTACACTTATATGCAGTGGATGGAGGTGGGGGGAATACTACAAGATAAGAATTCTCCACTCACACAAGTGGTGACTACACAAAAGCCATGGAGAAGTAGGTCCTTTATCTCTCAAACTCTCCTGGCGGGTCACCATTTCCAATAAAGCACAAAAATGGCTTTCCTGGAAGTGTTCCCAGTCCTATTTTTAAATAAGCCCTTAGACAAGACACAAGCAAGACTCAATGAAAACATCACTACCAGCCCAGGAAGCTCCCTTAAAACTACGCCCACAAAACATGTCTTCCTTCTCCATGTGTCAGTAGAACAAAATCACAGCGCTAGGGCCACCCCCCTCCATATTCCTCACACCCGTATCCACCTCTTAATACACTGTATTGTAATTGAAGTGAATTCTTGATGGAAAGACCTCCATGGACTAAGTGAAGATATAATTAGATGTGTAAACCTGTGAAATCTCACTGGAAAAACAATCGTGGTCTTCACCAATTTAAATACCTCCACCCACCCCACCCCTTCCAGACAGCTTACTTGCATATGTGAAAGAAGGTGTAAAGCCTGACCAAGCTCTTTACTTTTGAATGCAGTGGAGTGAATTTATGAGCCTTGGCAGTGATGTTCCAGATTCCCAGCTTGATAAGATCATTGATTCCCAGAAGCCTAACCAATGCTGTACACTGATATATACCTCAGGAACAACTGGACAGCCAAAGGGCGTTATGCTCAGTCATGATAATGTAAGTATTCTTGCCTACAAGTAAAAGAACGGCTGTTGGCTTTCAGATTTCTCTGGGATGCACTATTTTAAATAGTGTTGAGGTTGGAAGAATGGCCAAATATTTTAACAGTAGGACATAATTGAAATGAACACAAATTAACTTTGGAACGGTTTCTCTTTTCAAGACCACTCTTACTTATTTATTTATTTTTTTTTTTTAAAGCAAGATTTGTCAAAATTCATTTACTTCTGGTCCGAGTGAGGCAAATCTTGCCTACGTTGTCATGTCCCACAAGTGTATGTCCAGAGCACCCATGGCTTGGTCAGAATAGATCTCTAGGAAAAGAAATATTAGACATATTTTGTCCTCCAAATACAGAGAACCATTTGTCACATTCGTGACAGACTAACTTCAACAAGGGCAGTACTCTTCCATAACCCAGATCAGGACACTGAAACTGTTGCTGTAGACTTGGGCCCTACTGTTCATTACTGCTATAATGGCTAGCTCTTATGTCTTTTCTTTGTAAATTGCTTTGAGATCTAATGATCAGTATCTCCATTTTACAAAGCTTAACCGTGGCCAGCATTCAGGGGGGGGCTATTTAATGAAATAAGACTAAAACCCTCACCTTCCATCAAATGGGATGGCAGAGCCGCCACTAACCTAGACACTCCTCTCCATGGTGGCCTCCGCATAGAGGTAACTGAAGTAGTTTGGGATAACTTGTTTCCCTAGTATTACTAATGCTGTTTTACACACCTTATGTAGTTTGAGACTAGTCAGCCAGCAAAAATGTCAAATTAGGAGCATCTCATGAATCTGTTTTGAGATTATGCTCTTTGTTCAGCTGGTGAATCTGTTAAGATACCAAGAGAGCCTCTGAAAAGCGCAGTCCTTGGACTGAAGGGCCACACCTAATGTGTGTGAGATGAAAACCAAGGCTTTAGCCTCACTCCAAAAGCATTGGACAGGTTTGCTTTGTGGTAATGACTCTGTCTTCTGTGGATGCAAGTTCATACAGTTTGCTTTTTGAAACCCTTCTGAAGCTCTAAGTGTACAAAGTCTGGGACTGGAGCAATCTCCCAGACAGTGACTGTAGATTGAAAGCAGAGTAGTATTGGCCACAGAGACTAAGGCAATTGAGGAGAAAGTGACTGAGATGCCATGGCAGGTCTAATCTTCGCTTTCTCTTTGTAAGCAGCTTCTGTGTACACACTGTCTTTACTGAATTCGTTTTGATCAAGAGAATTGGGTACTGGACCCAGGATGCTTTCCTAGTGCCTGTACAGACCCAACAGTGAACATGAGAATTTCCAGACCAGTGCTCCAGCTAGTCAATAGCCTGTCAGAAGGTGCAAGACTGCCCTGCTGTGAGCAATGATGGAAATACCTGCCCATAAGTGACATTTCTTCTCCGCTTCCTCCGAGTATAAATGGCACATGCCTTCAGTCACCCCTGAGAAGGGGTAGTATAAGTGGGGGGAGGCCTACTGCTGCCCTTCCAGTAGCAGGGGGCTGAACATCTACTTGAAGCATACATCTAGGAACTACAGAAGTAGACCATAACACCAGATGGGGGACTCTATTCACCATGACCCCCAAATCTGAGTCATTGCTTCCTGGGATAATCAGCTGAACATGAACTCCCAGTGTGACACTGATCCTTGGATGCATAAATGGGAGATTTTTGAGTAAGACTAGAGGTTTGTGTGTTTTTTATTAAATTGGTCACTGCTGTGACCATGGCTGGACTACTGTTTCCACAATTCAAAAATAGGGAAGGGATAGACTCAAGGTGTGGGATCCACAAAACTACTCAAGTGCCTAAGTCCCAGTTTTGGCTCCACTGTGATCCATACAACTCCTGCTGAATTCTGTAGGCACGGAAACTCACTTGGTGCTTAAGCTTGTTCAGGGTAAAAGTTCCCTCAGCGCCTATGTTTCATGCTCTGGACATGTGCACTGCTGCCTCCATCTAGGCATCCGGATGCCTATCTCCCACCTAAGCCCGGCCTAGACAGTGACTCTCAAATCAAGGAAAGACCGGCTTTCACCCACTATAGCCACATGCAGAGCCTGATCTCATAGGTGGTCTCCAAGCAAGCCCACTGGAGCAGCTCTCATTCAAAATCTCCCTGGAGGAAGGGGTAGTGGTGGTGCCCACTTTAGCTTTTGGCCCCAATAGCTAGAGCACTCACCTGGATTATGGGAGACCCAGGTGCAATTCCCACAGCTGAGGTGGGCTCTACCACTGAGCTATAGGACATTCTGATGAGGGGCAGTCGCTGGACAAGAGTGGGAATGACTGACTGTGTAGCCCAGTGTTTAGGGCACTCACCTCCTGGGTCCCGTCACTCATTATTTACTCACAGTGGAACAGCTTCCTCAGGAGAAACTGAGGGAACCCAAATCAAAATATCCCAGACCTCTGTGGCTAGAGCACGCTTCTGAGAGAGACCCCTGTCTACATGCTCCCTTCTCCTCCTCTGTCAAAGAGGGGGAATTGAACCTGGAGCTCCTATTTCCCAGGTGCATGCTCTAACCTCTGAGCTAGAAACTGTAAGGTGGGCATCACCCCCTCCAGCCACTTTGTGTAGAGTGGGGTAGAGTCTAACTCATTCTCATGAGAAGTGACTTCGGTGCCTAAGCTGCCTGACTCCACATGGCTGGTTCCCATTCATGGGTTGCTAAGCAGAGATAGGTACCTATCGCAGAGGGGCAGGGTTAGGACACACCCCTCTGGTGAGCATCTCCCACTGGCTGTCTTAGTGGGCTTCCCACCGAACATGGCTTTTGTGAATTGCCTTCCTAGGTGTCTATCTCTCCCCATTTGTTACAGAGGAAGCTTAGGTGCCTAACTGGGCATTGTGGATATCTGTGTTTCCTGTGACTTTCTAGATGCCTAAAAGTTAGGCGCCATGATGCTCAGCATTGCAACACCTGAGTCCCTTCATGAATCCCACCCAAGGAGCACTGTCTAGTTAGCCTCACAGAGAAGGTTAAGGGGTGACTTGGTCAGCCTACAAATACCTACGGGGGAACACATACTTGATTGTCTCTTCAGTCTAGCAGACAAAAGTATAAGATCCAGTGTCTGGAAATTGAAGCTAGAGACATTCAGACTGGAAATAAGGTGTAAATTTTTAAGAGGGAAATTAACCACTGAAACAATTTACCAAGAGTCATAGCAGATTCTTAATCAATGACAACTAGTAAATTAAGATCAGATCTTTTAGAAAAATATTTGTAGTTCAAAAGGAATTATTTTGGGAGTTCTATGGCTTGTGTTCTACAGAAGGTTGATTAGATGATCACAGTGGTCGTTTCTGGCCTTGGAATCTAGTAATCGAATTGTTACCCACTTAACCTTAACTGATAGGGCTCATTCTGATTTCCCCCCAGATTGATTAAGTTAAACACAAGTTTCAAACTAGCCAAAGAGACCAGGAAAAGGGAGAAACTCTCAAAGTGAAATGTTTAGTGGATTTAAAACACACAAAGCATACTTGTTTAGATACTCTGCAGTTCACAACATTAAATAACATCAGTGTTGTGCCTTGCGAACTTGTTCAGAACCACTAGTGTGAATGGTAACCATGAGGTGCTTCTGTTTTCAGATAACTTGGACTTCACTATCAGCAGGGAGCTACGTACAACTGACAGAAGCTACCGAACAACAGGAGGTGGTGATCAGCTATCTTCCCCTCAGTCATATTGCTGCTCAAATGATTGATATTTGGCTGCCAATAACATTTGGTGCACAAGTTTTCTTTGCTCAACCAGATGCACTGAAGGTAAAGACCATGCTACTTAATCTAGATGCTTATAGACAGTAACAGGGCTGTGTATCTGTTTTTTTAGCATTTGTGTCACAAGAGGAAACCTAGGTTGGCTATGAACAAAGCTGACAAAATCCCGAGAAACTCAGATTACGCTTATCCAAGTAATAGTAAATAACACTGTTTTTGTAACCTAAAACAGACCCTTAAACTTGACACACTAGCAAGTAACTCTGACATCTATTCACCTTTCTGCTCTGTATGGTACAAAGATGGATAAGGTGACCATGCACTCTGAATCTATATGAATATATTGGGTCCTTGAATGTCATTTCAGACACTATATATTCTGCAACTTCCCTTTCTAATAGAGGGGTAGTGCAGTGGGTTTACTGGCCATACTCCAAAATCTCCCCAGGAGAAAATCTCTACCCTGTCATGTGAAGGGCCAGGTTTTTTGCCCTTGATGCATAGCTGGCACATGTGCATCTGAAGTCAAAGCAAGGGGCATTAACGTGCCCTGGCCTTTGAAAACCAGCGTTTGTGACTAGCACTCAGAAAGCAAACTCCTCTCCACGCTGCTAGCAATACAAAAAGGCAAGGTGGCTAGTGTGACTGTTCCAGGGCTAGACTAATTGCTGAGCCCAAGAGACTGGTTTCTGGGGGCACCTAGCTTTTGACACTAATCTGGAGTCCACAGGGTAGTGGCACTATGGCATATTGTGAGTTGGATTCCTGAAAGTTGAAATGAGTGCTGATTCTGGGTTTGTGCCCCTTGAAGATGGGAGTGTGTTGTAGGAATGGAGTACTCTACTCATTAGTAATCAGTGTTGACTCAATCCATCATCGGTGGCTTTTGGAAGGAAATCTAGGTGTCAACTAGAAACAAAACATCCTCTGAACAAAAGTGGTTTTAAACATTAAAATTCTACTTCACTTAGGGCAGCTTGATAGACACCTTACGGGAGGTGAGACCAACAGCTTTTATGGGAGTTCCTCGTGTCTGGGAGAAAATACAAGAAAAAATGAAATCTGTGGGTGCAAAATCATCTGCTCTCAGAAGAAAAGTGGCAGCATGGGCTAAGGAAGTAGGATTACAAACTAACCTGAAACGGATGAACGGGTAAATTTTTTTTTTTTTTAAAAAAAGCTATTTAAATGCAGTCTGTAGATCCTAAATAGCGCATTATGCCCTAATCTGATGGGATGCTAGCAAATGTAATATGCAGGATTGTCTTTTATGTATGGTCTGTAGTAAAAAGTTAAGAGCATCTTCTGAAACTAAATAAAGCTTGGCTGTCTAGGACGACAAGATAGACTAACCTGAGCCTCTTTCAATTCTTCTCTTAAAGGGCTTCTGAACTCCCAATGAACTTCCGTCTAGCCAGGCAGTTGGTGTATAAAAAAGTTCGGAAGGGTCTTGGACTGGATCGATGCACAAAATGCTACACTGGGGCTGCCCCAATTACTAGAGAGACTCTGGAGTTTTTCCTGAGTCTTGACATTCCTGTGTATGAGTTGTATGGCATGAGTGAGAGCTCTGGACCTCACACAATCTCTCTTCCAGACGCATTCAGAATCACTAGGTATGTATTCCTCATTGTGGAGAAGAACTAGATAGCTGACTCTTGCATAAAGAACAACTTAATTAGTATTTTTCTCATACCAGAAACTCTCATACAACTTGGATCACTGCTGCCCTCCGCTGAGACAGGCAGCTCCCCTCCTTCAGCCTGTACCAGCATCAGCTAGCCACCAGTAAGAGGGGCTTGGGAGCAAGCTCTTCTCAACTGTGAGGCTGAGGTACAGGAAAGGTGGAACTTGCCAGTGGCCTATAGAACAGGAGCTCTGTTTTAAAGCCTAAATCATCCAGGCTCTCTAGGAGGCACAACTGAGAAATGGAGGGATAGAGAGAAACTAATAAAAGAGGTGTCAAGTATCAAAGGGGTAGCCGTGTTAGTCTGGATCTGTAAAAGCAGCAAAGAGTCCTGTGGCACCTTATAGACTAACAGATGTATAGGAGCATGAGCTTTCGTGGGTGAATACCCACGTCTTCGGATGCATGTAGTGGGAATTTCCAGGGAATTGCCCCTGGAAATTTCCACTACATGCATCCAAAGAAGTGGGTATTCACCCACGAAAGCTCATGCTCCTATACATCTGTTAGTCTATAAGGTGCCACAGGACTCTCTGCTGCTAATAAAAGAGGAATTGTCATTTGTTTCTCATGACTTCTACTCTGGCACACAATCATTCTTCATGATACAGTTCAATATATCCAGTAATTTAGAAAAGATCAGTGTGAATATATTACAATCTTTGAAATCACAAGCCAGGGTATTTAGTGTTTGGAATTAAATACAATTAAGCTATTACAAATTTTCTAAACCTCAGGGATTCTAGAACAATATTTCAAAAACACCAAGGGCAGATCTATGCTTAAAACACTGCAGCCTGGCTGCTGTGGCACTTCAGTGAAGACGCTAGCTGTGCCAATAGGAGGGCTTCTTCCATCAGTGTAGGTAGTCCACCTCCCTGAGAGGCGGTAGCTAGGTCAATGGGAGAATTCTCCTGTCAACCTAGTGCTGTCTACACTGGGGGCTAGGTCTGTTTAACTGAGTCGCTCAGGGGATCTGGATTTTTTCATATTCCTGAGCAACATAGTTATAGTGACTTAATTTCCTAGTGTAGACCTGGCCTAAATGTCTAGTACAGGGGTGGCCAAACTTGCTGAAGCCTTGAACTCTGGCAGGCACCTCCCGTGGGGGTGAAGCCCCAAGCCCCGGCAGATGCACCCAGCTCTCGAACTTCTGAAGATTATTGTATGCGGCTTGTAGCATCGAAAGTTTGGCCACCCATGGTCTAGTAGGTACTAATCTCTCTGGTTAATATCAGATCCGTTTAGGTCTTGTTACACTACACTGACAGGCAGCTTATAAACAGATGAATTCCTTGCTGAAAGAGACATGATACCACAACCAGAATGTCTCATGACTTTGTGCAAATGCTTAAATTTAAAAGTAGTACTGATAGGAATCTAACAATTCATAGCTTTTTAGCATACTGAATCTTAAGGAGAATGTGTCCCTGTTTTAGCTGTGGAAAAGAGATTACAGGCTGCCGGACAATGATTTACAAGCCAGACAGCGATGGCAGTGGAGAGATCTGTTTCTCAGGAAGACACATCTTTATGGGCTATTTGAACATGGAAGATAAAACCAAAGAGGCAATTCATGAAGAAGGCTGGCTACATTCAGGTGATCTTGGCAAGCATGACAGAAATGGATTCCTTTACATCACTGGAAGAATTAAAGGTAATACCTCCTCCTTTGGTTTGAACTGTCTGGCTGCACCATCCTGTGCTATGAACTTTTAAATCTTGCAAGCTAAGCAGGCCTCTATCATGGCTTGGTATCGACTAAGTGGCATAACTCCTCCTGAGGTACTTATGGACCTAGCATGGCATCTAGGTGATATGCGAACAGTGGTAGAGTATTCTAAATGTGGTGTAAAAATGCTGCAAAACTAGAGAACAAATTGCAGAAGTCAAGACTTCAAACGGTGGGGGTTAAAGAGCCACTGGCCTGCTCTGCAACATGATAGTTGTCTAAAGCTGACTCTTGCTAGCTATAGTCTGACTTGAGGGAATCGAGCTTGGCAAAGTAACTTTTCTAATGCCAACAGGCTATGGTAGCATTAGCTCTTACCGCATCATCCGCCTTCACAGTCAGATGAGCCAGCTATTTGGATATAAAATTGTATATCCAGTGAAGCAGTTCTTGGGAGTGGCCTGTATATACAACTCCTTGCTATAAAGGACACCTACTTAAATCAAGTTACTATAGGACAGATACAAAAGCAGATCAGTGATCTATTTATTTAGTGTGTCCTCTTCAGAGAGACAATTAGTTGATCCTTCCACCTTTGTGCTGTCAGTAGCACAAGCATACTTGGGTCAGTCGGGAGGCAGTGGGGTAAAGGATTAGCATTTTCCTCATGGGGGTGGGAGGAAAACTCTGGCAGCAGAACATTTATAATGCTAAAAATAGTGTAGATGTGGAAGGCACTGGTTGGCCATATAGGGTATCTCTCCTAGCGTTTGGGTGTGTATGTACTCCACCCATCTAAACTTTTTGCCTCCTCTATACAGCTATTTATACCCATACTAGCTGGGCATGTGCTATCTGTACCCCTACATGCTACTGTAAGGGAAGAACTAGCCTTGTCCCCTGCAGGCCCTTTGTCCTTTTCCCAAAGGGTCTGAAACTGCCTAGTTCTGAGCCACTGTAGTAATGTCCCCCTAATGTCTCTCAGCATCTGTCTGAAGTACCCTGGAGCTATCTACCCCTATCCAAATACACATGGATGGTCTTGTCTCTTGCCTACTGAATAGGCACCCTTCTGCACTGGCATAGACAGGGAAGAATCTGCCTCTGGGTCCCCCTCCAGTGCTGATGCCTGGCTACCAGCACTAGAGTTCTGGTAAGGACTGGGTTAAATAGGGTCCCTCCCTGCCTGGGGTGTAGAAGTATAGCCCAAGACCCTTTCTTCAAGGGAAAGGGTGGTGAACAGTCAGGTACCAACAGCTTCATGGCTCCAAATGACCCCACAGCAAGAGCCCAAACTCCATAATCTCAGATGGTGGATTCTGCTCAGGTCCTGAGCACAAATAAGGCCAAGGGAGGGGATGGGGAAGAGAACAATTAATGGTGGATGGGGCTGAAGACCTTTTTTGTTCTTTGCATGCAAAGGAACAGCTAGTCTCTTTGCTCTTGGGGGGGCTGGTTCCTCTCTGGGCTTTCCTAATGTGCAGATGCAACTAGGATGGGGAGAATCTTCCCAAGTCAGGATGACTGTTGTCCCAGGGAATCTTGCAGTACTAAGCTGTTAAAAGGTTCACAGAAATAACTTGATATTCAAGGCCCCATGTACTAAGTCGTAAACTGTACCTAAATTCTGCAGTCCTAGGTTCTCCAGTGCATGGTGAAAAACTCCCCTCTACAGCAGTTATTCATGTGTATATTTTAATAGCACAGTAGACCATGTATGTCTTTATTAAATTGACTTTTAGGGACACACATCATTTGTGGCTACAAGACAGAAATTGGCTAACATGTGCAAGTGCTGCAATCTTTGCACGTCAATTTCTCTGAAACCTACACATCACAAAAAGCACAACTGGAACTGCAGTGAAAGATCGCATTTTCATAGTTATGCCTAACTGTCTTCTAGAGCTCATCATTACTGCTGGAGGGGAGAATATCCCTCCCGTTCCAATTGAAGATGCTGTAAAGGAGGCTGTTCCTATAATTAGTAATGCTATGTTAGTTGGAGACAAAGCAAAATTCCTTGCTATGCTTCTAACTCTGAAGGTATGGTTCTTTCCATTATCTCCTGATATGTAGCCAGAAAATAAGATGAGCTATCACCTTAGCCAGAATGGCTGTATTCTGGAAGTAGAAGAGTTAAGAGGGCTTTTCATGGTCAAATGAAAGATCTGAAATTCTATCCAATACCTGCAAATAAGCATTTCACAAACCTAATCTTCTACCGAATCTAAGCAACACCAAACCGCATGTCCTGCTGTAACCTTAAATTACAAGGACCTGACTATAAGAAGTTCATGGGAGCAACTCTGACTTCATGTTTAGATTCTATGGCTATAGTTTGGTTATGAAGAGGTGCAATTCCTCCCTCTGAATATACATATTCAGCAAAATTAGAAGGGAGTTGAAGTTGAGGACAGAGAAGTGAGAACCACATTTTTCCTTTTGCTTCTTACTGCTTCCATTTCCTCCCCAAACCTCTCCCACCATAGCAGTAACAAGCTGTAGCTTCTTTGTTTAAATCTGATTTGCTTTAAAAGTTTCCCAGGTTGGTAATGACAAGCTCAACATCCTGCAAAATCCCTGTTTTGATCTTTTTGCCAAGGAAGATTGAGCTCTAGATTTCTGGAGGCCAGTTCCCACTCTCCATAATAAGAGCTGTTTGGGTGCAGAGCTGTTTGGGTGCAGAGCTGTTAAGAGACCTTGACAAAGCAGTATAGGAAGCTTGTGCTGCATTGTCTGTCAGTACTTCAGTGCTGCTGACCTCTCCCAGATTCAATGCATTTCTTTTTCTAACTCTAGAAATGCCCCCAACAATTAACGGGGGGGAAGCACTAACCACAACTGTAGCTATAACAAAATAGTCCTAGAAATTCTTTACTTACTTCTAGAGCAGCCCAAGCGCTGAACAAATTTTTTTTTCTCAGCATGCTGAGATCTGAGGGGTTTAACTTGAACATAATCTCCTTCAACTACCAGGCTTCAGTGAATTGGTAAACTATTGCACCAAGGTGATGTGATTCTGGCTGTCTGCTTAAGATCAGCCAAGGTAATAGAAAATAACAAGATACTGTAGAAAAGAACTTACTCTTTTCTACGGTGTAGTTGTATATTAACTGTTGAACCAGTGAAGTAATGTTGTTCTATCCTTCCTCTTACAGTGCAATGTAAATGAAGAAACAGGGGAACCACAGGATGACCTTACTCCAGAAGCCATAGCATACTGTCTCAGATTAGGCAGCAAAGCTACAAAAGTCTCAGACATTGTAGGTGGCAAAGACAAAGCTGTTGATGCTGCTATCCAGAAGGGAATTGCATTAGTCAATGAGAAAGCAATCTCAAATGCACAGAAAGTACAGAAGTGGGTCCTTCTAGAAAAGGACTTCTCAGTCACTGGTGGAGAGCTAGGTAAGTGACCTGGGCTACTGCATATTGAAACAAATGCAGGACTCCTGATTTCAAATTAGGTGGTGGCACATCTTCTCCTCATTTCCCTAACATCCTGTGTGATGTGATCTCTTGCATGTGTTATACTAAAAGTGGTCTTAAACTGCCCTGTGAGTGTACAGTGTGCTCCACGGTGCTGGATACTCAAGCAAGTGAACTGCAGGAGCCGATCAGCTGGGTAGCTTGGACAGTAGCCACTTTTGGCACTCTGCAAGTCTGATGTGGTAACCAGAGGTTTCTGGTTGACAGGAGTGAGGGGAGGAGATGCTGGTTTGTCTTGTGGGTGGAACTGGATGTGACTTTAGTCTTGGAGAGTGGGATGGATTGAATGTGTCATTCCAACTCAAGCAAGCCTTGCTGGTAACCAACTTGTTGCTACAACAGGATGCCAGGGTAACAAGTTGCTACATCTGCAGCAGTTGAACAAATCAAAGATTTGGATACTAATGTCCAAGCTTCAAAGTGAACATCTCTTCCTCCTCCCCCCCCCCCCCCCCCCCCCCCGGCATGGAAATAATTTGTACTTCTTGGAGTTAAGTAGGAGCAGGTCCAGAAACAATTAGGTCCAAAAGGGTAGACAACTATGAGGGGCACAAGCAGGTGGCCATTTGCATGGTTGCTTAATTGCACCATGTGAGGGGACCTGGTTAATCTCCATAATGAGTGACTACTGTAACCCTCTTCTCTTAATGAATGTGCCAGAGCCTCAACTCTTTCCTTGAGGATTGCAGTAAGCTGCCTCAGGCTGTCATGCACCTACCCCTTTGTGGTGCCCTCTCACCAAGAATCATTCAATTCTTGTCCTGCTAAATGACTGTGATGGCTGGTAGGCTGGAGCCCAAGACCAGGCATTTCTGTTCACTTCAGCCCCTGGACAGTATAGATGGCTTAAGCCCTGGCTTCCCACACCTTCTCTCCCTAGCTCTGAGGCTGGCAGCCTTGCTGCTTCCTTCCACCTGTACAGACTGCCCCAGGCAGCAGTTTTCTTGTGCCTTCCACCCTGCATATGAAGTTGATGTCAAGTGATTGCCTCCTTCCAAGATGAGAAACCATAGTAACTAAGGGAGACTTTCCAAGCTGGATGCCCAACTGCCCTTTGTGCCTTCCTCTAGAATCAGCAGACAGCCTTGCTTCAAGAGTAAACTTTGGAATTGGCCTTGTTAGTAGGATAAATAACAGTTAAAAAACTACTACTACCCTCTTCTTACAGGTCCAACGATGAAACTGAAGAGGCCTGTTGTAGCAAAGATGTATAAAGACCAAATAGACCACTTCTACACTGATGGGGAAACCACACCAGCAAATCCTCTTTCAAAGTAACCTTGGAACACTGCAGGTCTCAACATCCAGTTCTCCAACTCTTCCTCTGCTGTGTAAGTGTGCGTGTGTGCTGTTCATTGCTTCGACTCCCAAATGAAGGAATAAATGGGTCTCTGAAATAAACCAGGTTTAATGTTGTAGCCCTGCAATCACTGAATATTTGTATACATTCCTGACTAGTTATTGCTGATGCTGCACTAACATTCTCCTTTCTCTTTGGATGGACTTTTTCTAATGTCCATGGTCATCTCAAAATCAGTTGTGCATTGTATATGGGCAAATAGAATCTCAGCAAAAGCTATAGTTAAAATTATTTAAATAGTACCATGGCACTTGTTGTTTTTTTGTAAAAACCATGCTGTAACTTATTTTTCAACCAAAGTGTGTGTTGTCTGAAAATGAATGTAAAACACAAGCAGGAACCTTGGTTTCTTTGTAGTGTTGCACTTGAGGGCTGGGGTACTTTTTTAATAGCAATGACATTTGTAAGTAAATTATACACAGAGCATATAAAGGATTTCTATACAGTATGCATACAAAATACAGGTTTACTTGGTTCATTGTTTGTAATACTGGCTCTCCGACTTTTTTGGTTGAGATCTCACAAAGCCATAAACTTGTTGAAACTATACTCTGCATGTGTTGTAAGAAGCATTCCAGCAAAGGGAGTCCGATAGAGCTGTCAAAATCCTGTCCCTTCTGACTTGTTCCTCAGTTGTCCTACAATCATAGAATGTGTCTTGAACTTCTAGGTTTTTATGGCATAGTACACTGGTGGGGGGGTTGAGAAAAGGTCTTAATGACTTCTTGCAAGTACACTTTTAGGACCGTAATGGACTGAACTGTTTTAAAGGTTAATTGTCTTTTGAAAAGAGAAATTAATGCATGTATTAGAAAACTAGGAAATGCTCCAGCAACTGGTATTGCCTCTTCTGGCAAAAGGGTTAATTTATTAGGGGGGAGGTTCAACTTCTGGTGGGGGGAGGGTGTGCGTGTGTGGAGGGAATTAAGTATCTACACGGTGTGCTGCACTTCTAGAACTTCAAGCTGTCTTGCACTGTAGGTCCCTCTACAGAAGCAAGCAAATGTTACTGAATTCATGGATGTTTATAGTAAACTACGGCAGAACCTGTTCACATCCGGCAAGGTGCCCCTGAGCAGAACAGGCATATCAGTTTATTCCTCCAGGCATAGAGTAGAGAAGATAATTGATTACCCCCTCCTGTTAACCAGTTATGATACAGTAGTCCTGCAGAAATTTATCATTGTATGAAGGCTTAACTCCAACTAAGTTTCAGGGAGCTTAAATGTTTTAAAGGTTTATCTTTTTTTGAGAAACTTGTATTTAACTGTGATCATGAACACCACTGTATGAGACTGAAGGCTTGAACAAAAGTGCAATCATTCTAGCTACTTTCAAACTTTACTCTTACTGATGTCTTTCTAGTTCATTACCTTTTGTCAAGTGCCTGGAGTGGATATGTCAGGCAGAGGAATGTGTATATGAATTTTCTGTAAGGCATCTCAAAAGGCTGAGTAATACTTCAGCAAACAAGGATTAAATGGCTATTCTGATTTGTGTATCAAACATAACTTTGCCATCCCTTGAGCCACATCAGGGTTTGTTATTGTGTTAAACCTCTTATCTGTCAGATGGCTAGTAGAGGGGGCTAGGGAAGGAATTTAAAGCACTTATACAAAAATTGACAAGTAATTGGAATTATCAATGAAGATTCCACATCTGTACATAAGTTTGTAATCTGATACAAGTGCTATGCACTATTACCATTGACTGGTCTTCTGTAACTGTTCTTTATGGGACAAGTGTGAAATGTCTGAATTTTGTTAATGAATGCTTAATAAACATCTGAAAACTTCATTTGTCTTTTGTGGCAATTTACTGAAATGCTATTTAAGTTACATTTTAGTTAAATGTCACTAAATGAAGCTTGTGTGTTTCAACTATCTTGGACCAGCACACTAGTGGTGAAGGGGAAGTTGAGTATCTATCTTGGTTCATAGGATAGTAAATGATGTAGAACAGATGTACAGAGAACAAGCTTTCATAAAATCTGAGAAGTGAGGTGACTTAACCCCTATAGGAACACCACCTGTACTATTCATCCTGTTTGGCTATAGTGCTGGCATTCTGCCAAGATTTTTTCAGAGTAACTTGCACAACCTTCACTGCCTCTAAAGTAGGGAGAGAATCTTCATTGCTCAGCTAGAGAAACTGAGTCCCTTAAACTGTCAGGTTTTAGAACTTAACTGCAAGGACCAGTGCCTCTCCTGCAGAGCTAATCCCTGCTCTAGGGAGGAGGAAGCCTAAAAGCAAGCAGTGGACAATGACCAGCCCAAACTAATTGGGCCCTATAGCAGACTCTGAACTAGTAGAAGCAGAGCGAACCCAAAGCACTGGACAATTGAGTATTGTTTAATGGACGACACATTAAACTTGCCCATTTTCATCTAGCTCCATCAGCCCTGCAATTAAAATACCACATTTGGCCACCTGTGCCAGGTGACTTGGACTTAGGCTAAGGGGCTGTTTAATTGTGGTGTAGATGTTCAGGCTCTAGCTGCAGCCTGAGCTCTGAGACCCTCCTACCTCCGGCTCCTAGATCACCAGTTCTAGCTAAGCTTGAACATCTACAGTGCAATTCAACAGTCCCTTAACCAAAGTCCAAGTCACCTGGCAAAGGTCAGCTGTGGGTCTTTAACTGCAGTGTAGAGACAAGGGCTGTTAAGAGTGGATTAACTCTCACACTTGAATTTTTTAATTGCAGTTAATTTGAGTTATGATCAATAACTTAGAAAAATTCTTTATTTTCAAATGTATTGATTTCTATTACAAATATTTGCACTGTAAAAATGAAATTTTTTCAATTCACCTCATACAAAATACTGTAGTATTTTCACATGAAGGAGACTGCAATTTAGATGTTGTTACATAACTGCACACAAACACTGTAAAACTTGAGCCTAAGTCCAGTCCTCCTCCTTGTTCAGCCAATTGCAAAGACAAACAGCTTTTTGTTTACATTTAAAGGAGATACTGCTGACTGATTTATAATGTCACCTGAAAGTGAGAACAGGTGTTCGCATGGCACTTTTGTAGCCAGCATTGCAAGGTATTTACAGGCCAGATATGCTAAACATTTGTGTGCTTTGGCCACCATTCCAGAGGATATGCTTGACTTTAAAAAAGTCACAAATTTAATTAATGCTTTAACACCTGGGGGGAGAATTGTATGTCTCCTGTTCTGTTTTACCCACATTGTCACATTTCATGTTATAGCACTCTTGGATAATGACCCAGCCCATGTTTGTTCTAAAACACGTTTTGTCAAGTCTGCTGTGAAAGTAAGAGGTACCAATGTGAGATTTCTAAGGATAGATACAGCACTTGACCCAAGGTTCAAGAATCTGAAGTGCCTTCCAAAATCTGCAAGGGACAAGGTGTGGAACATGCTTTCAGATGTCTTAAAAGAACACTACTCCAATGCAGAAACTACAGAACCCAAACCACCAAAAAAGAAAATCAACCTTCTGCTGGTGGCATCTGACTCAGATGACAAACATGCATCTGTCTGCTCTGGATCATTATCAGCATGGACACATGTTTTCTGGAATGGTGGTTGAAGTATGAAGGGATATATGAATCTTCAGTGCAACACTGGCTACAACAGGGCCATCAAACACCTGTTCTCACTTTCAGATGACATTGTAAACGAGATGTGGGCAGCATTATCTCCTGCAGATTGTAACCAACCTTGTTTGTCTGAGTGATTGGCTGACCAAGAAGTAGGACTGAGTGGACTGAGGGTTCTAAAGTTTTACATTGTTTTATTTTTGAATGCAGTTACTTTTTGTACATAATTCTACATTTTTAAGTTCAACTTTCATAAATTTCTTTTTCACAGTGCAAATATTTGTAATTAACTAAAGTGAGCACTGTACACTTTGATTTCAATTACAACCCAGAATACAATATCTGAAAATATCCAAAAATTGTATTTAATTGCATTAAGAGAATACCATTTAATCACACTTTTTTAAATTGCTTGACAGCCCTAGTAGAGATGTGCATTATGTGGCCTATAGAAGCAGGTTCCAGCCTAAAGAAGAGTTGGTGGGGGTATTTAATAGCCACCTTGTATAAAAGGATAATAGAAACAACTCATACAAAACAGTAGTTGAGTCTTTTCTTATTAAGATGGCAATTCAGGACTCAAGTCTCTCAGGGGGGAGGGTGGAGAGAGAGAAGGTGTCTGCTTAATTCTAGTAGCAAAGAAATTTCTACCTTACACACAAGGGTGATATGACTAATACAGAAAGTACTTGTGGCACCTTAGACTAAAATTTATTTGGGCATAAGCTTTTGGGGGTTAAAACCCACTTCATGAGATGCAAGGACTCCTCATTCTTTTTGGTGATACAGACTCACAGCTACCACTCTGAAACCTAGGCACAATACACTAGCTGCCCTAAAGTTTGGGGTGGAATAGGATGTATTCATGTTGCAAACAAACTCCATTCAAATACCATCCTAAAGAGCTTATGTGCCTTATTTTAAATGTCCTTTCTCCCTTGAAGTGCAGCAAGAGATCTTGGACCTGCTGTTGCAACAAGGGAGCTGCAGATCTGCAACTCAACTACCTTGAAATACTAGCTTTAGAAAGTGATATAAAAGTCACTTATGAACTCCAGGAAAGAGCAATGACAGGATTGTTTTTTGAAAGGCAATTAATTTCTTTGAGTGGAATTTAATTGCATAAATCCATCTAGTCAAATACAGGGGCCAGTACCAGCTCTTTGAGGAAGGTAGAAGAGAACCTCCCTACAAGGAAAGAGGCTGGGTTTCTCTTCTAAACCATAAGCCTTAGCTCTCTAGAGATACTTATCTAAAACCTCTTTGAAACATAGCACTCCAGGATAAGGCCATGAGCATATGTTGTCACATTTACAAAATGTCACCTTACTCTAGAAGTGCTTGATCTACCTTTCTCACTTATCTTTTTACATGGATCAAGGAAGAGAGTGGGACTCTTTCCCCATCAGCCCCTCCTTGGGACAATTCTACTACCACTCCCCCTCTTACTGGAAGAGGAAATAGAGGCATGGGCACCAAAAATCTCTGCCGCAAAACCCTTGGGTTGCTTGAATGTCAAGCGCAGAATGCTCTTTAACTCAGAGCCAGGCTCCCAGTGATGTTCCCAAACTGTGGTGCTCAATGCTGATGAGGCAGCAGGGAGAATTCTGTACACTTGAACTATTTTTTTTAGCTAAACATCTGTCAAAGGGGTTGAGGTAGCACACCTGGTAATACTTCTGTGACTACTCACTAAGCAACTATTGGAAAAATTCAACTTGCCTACAAGATCATAGAGCAGGCTTCCTGGTCATACACTCAAAGCCCAGGGGACTTGAATCTACAGAAAAGGGGGAAACTTTTCCACATGTACTATCCAGCCTAATGAGAGCCACAATAGTTGAGTGTTACCTTAAGTCAATGGTTTTTAAATCCATGTAGGAAATTGGGTCTTAATGCATTGTACTGTCTCCAGCAGACCGTAACCTGCAATCAGGGAGACAGTGAGTGTGTTAGATTAGATCAGTGGTTCCAACCTATTTACCACTGTGGGCTGCATCCACACAATATATATATATATATATATATATATATATGCGCTACCTGTATGGCCCCTCAGGATGTCACATGGGCCACATTAGTGTGCTGATTGGGTTGCAAGTTGAGAACCACTGGAATAGAGACAGGCAGTGTCCTGCCATCATGGAGAATTCTGTTTGAGATCATGAGCCAGTCACCCTGTAACCAACCTGCTACCAGTGCTGTTAAATCCGATGGACAAGTCACAGGGCAGGTTGCCTCCTGCAATTATTTGTTTTATTATTATGCATTGCTAATAGGGTGTGTTCACTGCTTAGATGTCACTGCCCATGAACAAAGAGGACAAAGTTAGTATCATACGGCAGAAGCAGAGATAAACAGTGGTGTGCAGTGCTTAATCTGGCAGTGCGTTCTAATACTTAATACTATATTGAACACACCTGTTAGGGGAATTTTAGTAACACTACTCTTAATTTCAGCCAGAAACAGTATCCTTACACATTCAAAAACATTCTAACCCCATAGAAAATAATGGTCTAGTGTGACTGATTACAAGAGACTAAACAGCACTGAATGTTCACCATAAAATTCTACTACTGTACCTGCCAACATACAGTTTCAAATCCATGCAAATACTTTAACTTCCAAGGTAAAAGTGTAGTGAGATCTTTAAATGGTGACCTGGAAAGAGAGACAATTGGGTTTTATTCCATCTCATTTTTGTGTTGTATAAAGGCAGCCAAAGGCTGGGGGAGTTTTCCTGCTTGTTTTGGTACCTTAAATATTAACTTTGGACTTCACTGGTTTTGCTGAAAGACACTGGGAGGTGTGAGAAGGGGTAGGGAAGCTTGAGCCTCTAACAAAATGGCACAAATATAGTCCTGAGGTTAAGATGCCGACTTGGGAACTCGGGCGGCCTGGTTTGATTACAAGCTTTGACAGACTCTGACCTTGGACAAGTCAGTTTCCCAACTGTAAAACTGGGATAATTCTTCCCTCTTTAGGGGTCATGTGAGCGTAAATTCCTAAGTCTGAGGTAGTCTTATTGCAGTGATGGGGGGAATCCGTTGGTTCCTAGATAGCTTTTCTTTCACATGGGTGAAATTTTTGAATGTTAAAACTTGAATTCTTTTAAACTCTCTTCCCTCTCACTCAGATTTCCCTTCCTTGGTACCTAGTATCATAATCACAAGTTCCTGTATCCCATAGCCTCTTCCAGAGCAGATAAGACCTGCATTTCTCATCAA